TGGTAGAATATTTTTTCCCCCAGCTTCTTTTCAGCTCCTTTTACAGAGAAACCTGCACAGATATTGCTCGCTAGAGGGCACTTGAGGTAGAAGGAAAAAACAAGCCTCCATATCCATCTGCACAGTTGCCTGTGCAGGCAGAATGCAGCAACCTAAAGGCAGTGTGTGGCCTCTTTCCCCAGGGCAGCATCTGCACGAAACAAACAGACAAAAAAAATAATAATATTAGCATTGTACATCTTTTATTGATATTTCTCTGCAATGTAAATCTGCTTTTCATTTTCATGGAGCATTTGCGTCACAAATACATACATACATATGGACTTTCCCACCATGATAACAGATTAGATAACAACTAATCAGGACTCTGATGTCCGCTTTAATGCATAATAGTAGAATGATGGTGTCCCATATGTCTGCCTTTACCTATGTCATTGATTGGTTATTATAAATCTATAAACTTCACATAAGGATCTTTTGAAGGCAACTTAAAAATCAGTTGAATTTAATTATTATGTTTTACGCTTTAATACAATCTATTATACTAGAATAGTAGTATTGGGGGGGATTCTCTCCTATTTCTTACTCTTTTTGTACTTTCCACTTCTCTTTTATTTAAGTAGAAAGTGAACTTAAAACAGTATGTCTCTACCCTTGTTTTCCAAGTGAACTGAGAAGGGCTTAAATACTTAATTACTATTTGGTTTAAGCATTAAAAGAAAAGAGAGAAAGAGTAAAGATGGAAGGAAAAGAATGGGAAAGAGAAAGAAAAAAGAAAGGAAAAAGGTAAAAAAAAAATAAAAGAAAGAAAAAGAGAAAGAAAGATAATCCAACCCACAAAGCATGGGCTGTTTTATGAGATAGCTTTGTACCTGTCCTCTTAAATCAATCTACCTGCCCCCATTCCAGTTTCTGCTTAGAAGTAGAATTGGGGCTTATCTCTTTGCTAGCACCTGGGAAGATGTAAGATAAAGCCATTTTGAAGGCCTTCTCCAAAATGCTCTCAGCCACAGATGCTGATTTTCAGAAAGTATTTACACCTCCATTTACAGAAAATATAATGGCAACCTCAAGATTAATAATTACCATCCATATTGTGAAATGCAGCCCTGATTTCAGGGAGAGTTGAAGCCATAAGCAAAGAGTGTGGAACTTACACACTTCTGAATAGCAAGCGCTAAATGATTTTAACCCAATAATTCAAAACCACCTCTGAAGCACATGAGTTTCATTTTTAAATTCCGTAAGAAGCACTGCTAAAGCAATCACATGATAAGTGTAGTGTATTTACACATTTTTTCTTTATTTTGTTAATTAAGACTATTGGATTAAGACAGAATATTCCAAAACAGCAAAAGTGACCAAAAAACTATTAATATATCACTTTACCTTTTCTTCTCTCTCTCTTTCTCCTTGTCTTCTTGTGTATCTTATGATAAAGAAATTGCCTATGACAATGGTCCTTAGACTTTAGCAAGCAACAAATCTCCCTGCAGCATTTGTTAAAACTGAAGATTTCTGAGTACTACCAAAATTCAGGGTCTCAAATTTTCATTTTTAACAAAGTCTTCAAAGGATGAGACACATAACTGGTCCAGGAATTACAGGTTTAGGAAATCTCTGTACTTGGGTCATATTCCTTGAACTTGGGACCATCATAGCTTCTAGTGATTTTACTAAGAGGCAACTTTAAAACAAACTCATAACCTTACCAGCCCTCATAATGCTATCCTAAACTCACTTGAATGTTTATCAATTTTTCCAAAGTTGCTTTGTTACTTGGTTTCTTTATTTCACTTAAGACTCCAATATTGGAAACCAAAATAGAAGTTGAATTTCCTTCTGCCCTAAAGTTACATTTATGATACAATTTCATCATCTCCAACTTCCCCCAAAACACATAGTTTCAGATACTTTTCATCCTAATGAAATGTAGGAAACAGACTCTAGATTCCTACAAAAGAATATAGTCATGGCATTGGGTTTATGCTCTGACCTCCTGCCCAATTCGTTTTCTCAGATATCACACACAACAGATAGCATACCATGAAATCCTTTCATTCATGAAATCCACACTCCTGCACCCCCAACTCACATTGCATGCATTTATTAGTTCACCTACATTTATAAAAACAATCCAAGAAAGCCTGAACATTCTGTCATCACCCTACCCTTACTCTACTTCTGTTTTGTTTTGTATTGTATTATATTCGGTTTGCTTTAGTCTTTTCCAAATGTGTACTTAAGAATGGAAACAGGAAAAGCTTGTGTTTTTGCAGTAGATAATAGATTCTCTTCTGCCATTTCCTGCTTCAGTGAGAGAAGCTGGAAACTTCCCAGCTTTGCCACCCTCTTCCAGGCCTCTGTTTCCTACAAGCAGGTTGGCTTCTTCATCTTTAACTAATCCCTTCAACTAACCGGCCAGTTGATTTATCGCCTCTTTCAGCCAGATTTTCACTAAAGTTCCAGCCTTTCTGAACGAAGAAAATATCCATTTGCTACTTGGAGTCTCTCTCCATCTCATTTCCTCTAAGCTGCAGTGGATTCTCCGCAAAATTCTCTGCCTGTCATGGAGATATCTCCCAAGCTGGAGATATCCAGCCTCATCATGCTCACTGTTTGCATCACAGCCAAGGTTATTCTGAATGCAACTCTCTCTCCAACCCCCCCCCCACACACACCAGCTTTCCCTGTATCTATCCTCCACTCCTATCAGATAACTCCTCACAACTCCTCCCCTGCAATACTCCACAGCATAGGCAATTTAGGTCTCATTCTAAAAAGCCTATGTAGCACAATCCTTTTCCTGATGGAAGGCTATAATCCTGGAGGGGATGATGTGGTTTTTGGTTGGGGAGTCTGGGAGTGGAAAGAAAAGAACTTTCTTAAGGGGATAGGCTCTCCCCAGTGTGACTTTACAATGCATTCTATTAGCGGTGGGTGGAATTGTTAAAGAGATAAATGCCTTGTCCTTCTGCATCCCGGGTTTTATTTTATTTCCCTTCTTCTAAGGCTTTTTAACATTACCCTAATCCTCTTTCACACTTCTTAATCACCCAAACCCCTTTTAAGGATTCATGAGGAAATGCCTGCCCTCAGTACTTCAAACAGATTAGCAGATGGAGGAAGGGTTACCTAAAATTTTAGAGAGAAGAAGAGTCGAAGAGGACAAGGTCCTCAAGGGCTGCTCAAAGGACAAATGAGGATTGGGCTAGTCCAAAGAAGGTACTTAAACCACTGCCTTCTTACTCTCTTCCCTTTGACAGCACAGATTTCTGTCAGAAGAGAAGAGCTGAAGCTGCTGTTTGTCTAGCACTCTGACTTTCTTTTGGGATGAGTTTGTTACCAGTGACCATCCCCTTCCTTCTATTACATAAGACCTTTCCTACAGGTTTCACAGGTATATGCAGGTGCCCCCAAGTAAATGTTTAGATCAGTTGTTCATACCTTTCATTAAAGTGAACAATGAACGTCTGAAAATTAAACACAACCTAAAGTGTGATTAATGTCATTGTTCATTTGTGACTGTCTGAGTCTAAGAATACTTATAATTCAATTGAGGATTGATTCTCTCTCACTGACACACAGCTTCTGTCCCCCCCCCCCATGCCCCTTCTCTCAGACACTCAATGAAGAGAATAAATAACCATGGCTTTCTGGGGATTGCAAGGAAGAAACTACTTCCTAGTCCACTTCACTTCATCTTCTATAAAATTATTCACTAAGTTTCTTGTCCGTGATTCCCAGAATGTGAAGCAAACAGATATCAGACCTACAGTCAATGTTCTTTTCAATGTTTTACAATAGGAAGTTAGATTCACAATCACAAAAGTCAAATTTCCATAAACATTATAAACACAGTGAGTGTATGCTTCCGTTCAGTTCATTCTTTCTCCTTAATTCAGACAGTACAAGCTCTACAGACTGGGTCTAGTCTTCTGTACCATCCTTTCCCCCTTAGGCTATGGCTCCATCTCCCCCCCACACACACACACAAATGCCATCCTCGGATTTCATGTCTGGATTGAAATAAACGGAATAAATCAGGGTGTCCTGTGGGGTTTAAAGGTAAGAAATACTATGACATTTATTTCACTCATTTTGTTAAAACTGTGATCAGAACTGTGCCTCCGAAATCCAAGGTAAAGATGTCTCCGAGATGACAACCTCTTTCTTGCAATGGTTCTACACCTGGGTGGCCATTTCCCAAGCTCAGTCTTGAAGTGCATCACAGGACTTCAAGGGGCCACCTACAAAGCGTCTCTTGGTGGAAGCAAAGGAAAAGACAAGACTGGTGTGCAGGCAGAAATGTGGAAACCCTTGCCTTTACTGCTCCCAGCAAGTTCTGCCTTACATATATATATATATATATATATATATATATATATACATATACATATCCACATCCGCTTAACTCCATATCCCACGTAGCTGCCCCCATTGCTGTCCATCATCCCGTTTCCTCAAAGGAATAAAATCATCTGGAGATCAGGAATCGCTTCACCTCAGGACCATGACGCACAACCACTAAAATCTAGGGAGGTCCTGATCTGGCAAACAATCTGTTCTCTAAGAGATAGCCCTTGAAATCAAGCAACCATAAAGTGCCCACGCACCCTGCTGGTCCCGACGCATCCCTCACCCCCAGCCCCTTCCCCACCCACCCCTCCACCCCAAAGGCAAACAGCTCTGGGTGCCTGAGATAATGCTAGCTCCAAAGCTCAGGTGAGCCCTGGAGAGAGAAAGCTGACGGGTACCTCCTCCTCCGCAGCCTTTTATTTTCTCATCTGTCATCTCGTTTATCCAAACAGCTTGGGTCTTGGATGGGCCGTGCGCGCACTATGGCTAGGGCGCATCTCCATCCCGTGTCACTGGCGGCGGAGACGCGCGCGCGCGCGGGGCGTGCTAGGGAGCGCGAGGAGCGAAAAGTTGTGCGCCCACTTGGTCGGAAGAAAGAGAGCGGCGGGCGGGCGAGCGCGCGCGGGAGAGAGAGAGACACTGCGATAGAGCGAGCGCGAGAGAGAGATCGAGAGAGTGCAGGAGAGAGGCAGGGAGGGGGGCGAGGAGGGGGGGGCCGCTTACACGAATTTCCAAGTGGTAGACCTGCCTTTGCGCTCTGCCCAATGAGATCCGTCAGGGGAGGCACCCGGCTCACTTTTCCACATCACTTCACAGTTACATTTGGCAGGCAGGCGGGCTCGCACGCCGGAGCGCTCAGCCCGGAATTAGTGGATTTATTTGGAATCTCTCTCTTTCTTCAAAGCTCCGCCACCACCATCATTATCACCACCATCAGCGCCGGCTTGGGGTAGAGACGGGGGAAACATCCACCCACCAGGCTGCACTTTGGTCTGCGGACCTCTCCCCCCCCCCCTACCCCCTGCCTCGGGAACCCATCGCCTCCGCCCCGTGTCTTGGCACCGAGCCCCGCAGCTCCACGAAGGCATGAACGGAATCCGAAGGCGCCTGGCCAGCGCGCGGGGACCGCTCGGCGCTCACCGCCCTCGGGAACCGACCCCGAGTCCCTCCAGCCATTTGTGAACCAGGAGGCTTGAAATTCGCCAGTGCGGAGCTCCACACGGGTAGGTATTCCCTCCATCCGCCTATTCCTTCTGGCTTGGGAGTCACTGAAGGGGGTTTATTTCTTTTCGGACAACCTTTCCCGCACCCCGGGTCCCAAATCCGATCCCCCCGCCCGGGGATGGTGGATGAGGGTGGTTAGCTTTGGCACGGGCTAAGCTGAATCTCCCGGTTTTGCCATTTGTGGCGGGAGGGGGTTATTTTTTTTGGGGGGGGGAAGGGAGACTGGCAGTTTTTGCAAACTGCTCTACAAGCAGATTTAGAAGGGGTACAAGAAGCTCCAGGCTGCGCCCCTCGGTTCCCTAGCTCGGCTCCCTCCTCGGGGCCGCCTGGAGATTCTGCCGCCTGGCGACTTGGGCAGGAGCCGCCGCAGCCGCGCGTCTCCACTGCGGGGTCCGTGCGGTGAATGGGAAGCACCCGCCGCCCAACCCGAGCAGGGTGAGAAACCTAGCCCGGGGTGTGTGGGAGGGGACCGAGGGGTGCGATCGCTGCCTCGCGGGACCTCTCCATCTCCCGAGCGTGGGTGGCGACCCCCGTGGCGCGGAGGGAGGGAGGGCACTGCTCTACCGCGAGCACCCCTGGATCCAGGCTTTCCCACAAGTGGCCGCTCCAGCTTGGGGGGGGGGAGCTGGAGAGGGGGCGGGGGCGCGGCGCCCGCTGCAAACTTGAGGGGCTTCCGAGACGCTTGGAGACTCAATCTTCGTTCAAGGCTGCCTTATGTCAGGGTAGGACACCCCCTCCCCTGCTCGCCCCACGCAGCATTGCCCTGAGCCCTGGAGACTGAGCTCCTAGAGACCCCCCCACCCACCCAACCCCCCTCCGCGAGCTTGGGACGCCTCCTCCAGCCCCTTCAGAGCCTGCAGAATCAGGAGATGCGCGTGCAGTCGTGCTGCATCCCGGAACCCACAGGAAGGGGGGGCCGGGCGGCGCCCCTCTTAGGACCAGAGGAAAGGGGGTTCTGGCCCGGATTCTACCAGTGCAGTGCGTAACAGGTTCGCGAGGGATCGCTTCGCGTTCTCCAGGGCTCCAGCCAAGACTGGGCATGGTGAAATGTGCGATGGTCATTGCTGATGCCAACAGGTATCCTCGATCTCCTCTGATGTGTGTGTGTGTGTGTGTGTGTGTGTGGGTGCGTGTTTTCCTCTCCAAGACCAAACATTTCCTCCACTCAATCTGGCCAAATGATATATATTTTTTTTCTTTCAAAGTTTTCTGATCGTGGACCCTTGCCCGCAGGCACAGAGAAGCCGGTGGGCACGTAAAAGACTAGCCATTTGCCTCCGCGGAGCGGAGATGGCAGCTGCTTGCTTGGGTTGCTAAGTGTAAGAAATCAAACAACATTAATTGTCTCTCGTTGCAAACGCACAACATTAGTCCATAATGGGCGGCGGCGGGGGGGGGGAGGATGTCAGGCTGGCAGGCTGCTCACTTCGGCTCCAATTAAAGGATTGAGCTTATAACCAGGCAAGCGGGAGCGAGAGAGAAGGGCCCTTTCAACTTTACCATGATCGCCTGAAGAATTCTGCAAGAGTTGCCTCTTTAGGGGGTTATGATCCGACAATCCCTCGGTGTGCAGAGCGGCTAATCACATCAGCCCGCTGTTTGCTGTCATCCGGCTTCACGGTATTTGTGGGCTGGCCGTGGGAACCAGCCGATGCATAAAAAGGTATTTCAGAACCACGTCCTCTCTCGCATCTGGCACCACGGGCAAGCAGAGAGATGAACGAGGCTTGGCTGGGGCCGTTTCCAAGCGCTGCTTCTCTTTAGAATACCCCTGACAGCTATCTCAATGGTTACAAACCCTTCCCTGAGCTGTCACCTCTGGCTTTATTATAGGAGCCTTTCCAAATGGAAAAACTATGTGTGGTGGTATTGGGGAGGGGGTATATTTATGTAAGACCGAGAGTGGGATTTTCCATTCATTCAGACTGCATGCAAAATGAGCTCTGTCGTTCACACTGAACACCACTGAAATTTCTCCCTGGCTGTTTTCATCCGTGTTCAATTTTGCTGGGATTTTTCTCGTGTGTGTGTGTGTGTGTGTGTGTGTGTGTGTGTGTGTGTGTGACAGAGAAAGAAAGAGAGAAGAGAGAGAGAGAGAGGAGAGAACTAGTCTTCATTTAAGAAGAGTAATACATCATTGAAAGATGTATTCTGAGGGCTAGATTATTCTTTCCTCATAGGGACTTCTCCGTAATCATCTTGTCCAGACACGTTTTTCCACTTCCCTGAGCTCTGTGGTTGAAAGAAATTCTAGGGTTTTCCTCCTTAGTGACTACTGATACTGATAATAATATTCTGTAACTGTGCTTTAGCAATTGTGAAGCTGCTTGTCACATTGTCATTTCATGCTGGAGTGGTCCCAAGATTTTAAATTACCTTAGACTTTAAATCATCAGTTTTGTGTTTTCTTTTCTTTCTTTTTTCCCCCTCCATCCTCTTTACTCTGAAGAGGATCGGAAGTTGAGGAAAATTGTTCCTGTAAAGGAGTGTTTTCTAGCAACTCCGGCAATCGCTGCTGTCAGAGCTGTTCATCTTCTTCATTCCATTCCCACACTGCCCAAAAGAGTATCACAGAGTGGCCAAGTATTTTAGTCATTGGCCAACGATCTGTGAAAGCTCTGTTTAGAGTATAGATCATAATGCTACCCTGCAAAGTTTGCTAATCCCCCTATTCAAATTGGATCTTACATTTCTAATCATCATTGCTACTAAAAATCAATACTTCTGATCGATGACTTATTGTCTCCTGAAACTCTCCAGACTCCCAATGTGTGAGTGAGTCTCTACACCTAAGACCATTCTGTTTCTGTTCTGCATTGCTGGTGTTGAGATGCCTCTCGTTAAGTTCTCGCAGCTGTATGAATTGGCTGAAGAACAGATCGCATTAAAACAGCAATCACTAGACTAGTAGCTCCATTTGTTGCCCTAAGAACCCTAAAGAAAAGGATGGCCTTGCCTTTGAAAATAATTTTACTTGAGCTTTACAAAATATCAAACTGTGGTCAAGGCAGTATTTGCCTAAAGTACTCAATTTAGCACTGAACACAGTTGAAGGACCTAGTGGTAAAATGTTTCCTGTCAATATCAAACAAAATTAACCGAAAGTCATCAAGTTTACTCAGCAGGATAAAATAGATCTCTAGTGTATGAATATAGTTACTGTGTAACATTTCCTGAGAACTATGCAAACACATAAGTTCTGATGTTCCAGGAAGATCAGATTGTTAGAACAAAGTAAAAATAAAATTAAAAAAAAACTCCAAAGAATTGAGAACATAATGTATATTCCAAAGCCCAGAGCTCTGGGCTTTGCTTTCTAGGTTCTTCTTCATTGTTTATTGATGTGGAAAAGAACAAGAACATACTTCAACAACTGCTCAGAAAAATCTCATCAATATTAGTAAATTAAAGCTTTAAGAAAGAAAAACAATTATATTTTCTACCTAAAAGTGCCTTCCCCCCCTGGCAATATCAGCATTCCAATTTGAGCAAATATTCCATGCAATGTTCCAAAAGCATTCAGTGGGTAAAATGACATTTAATTGATACTTCCGTCTACTTGTGTGGTCCAGCACCCAAGTTTTATGGTTGACAAATCAAGAGAGAAGCATAATCTGTGCAACCCTTCAATTATAGCTATGAACTGAGAGTCCCAAGGCTTTCTTTTGAAAATACTGTGCTCGGTGATGCTGCTGATACTGGTTTCAGTAATTTTATATTTGGTACAGTTACTCATTGAGACAGAGAAGCAGCATAGTTTTCTTTATGGTGTTTTCTGTTCAGCACTGTTGGCATTACTGAAGGCAAAGAGACTAACTTTCCTTTAAGTGTAAGGAAACACTCCTAACATTGGTGTCTTATGCATAGATTTCAGAATGCTTACATAAACCAAGGAAGATTCTTCCAGCTTCTAAAATGCTATATCAAGAAACGAGCGCGCGCGCGCGCGCGCGCGCACACACACACACACACACACACACATGGACACATACACACACCACAAACAGCTTACTTCTTTAAAGTAACTTCTTGAAGGTAATTAACTCCTTTATTGCTTCATTATGAGAATTTGTTTGTGTTTTCTTTGACATCTTTATTGCCTTAGTGATCAAAATATTTTTAAAGGAATATCTTTATTGGTGGAAATTTCTTCCCAGAATCCCACAAGTGCACAGGCATAACTGGAACCATTTTTTTCCTGCTGATGAACAAAGGCCAATGTTTGATTTGGTAGATGGTTAATTAAAATCAGAGATATGAATCTTTTGTTTCCCTTTCATTCACACAGAAAGTTGGGATGCATACTGTTTCCTCTGAACTGTTGGTTCATGCCTGTGGAACCCACTTCAGATGTAACCATGAGTAGAAAATTAGTTGAACTTGGCAACTTCAAAAGGTCAGAAAAGAAATAAGTTCAAAGGATGCCATTTCGATTCTTCTCTCCTACGTGGTTCCTAAATAAATCTCCATCGCTGTTCTGTGACATAGCACCAGGGCCAATACTGTTTCCATTTTCTATCACATCCCAAGGTTTTATTTTGTGAGTTTTAAAATGTCATGAGGTATTCCTTATCATAAACACCAATCACCTCCTTGCCTATAAACATCTTGATTTTAGTTTTAAGCTCTGTTGATAATGTAGAAATGTAGAGATGTGATTTTTCTGTATCTCCGGAAAGATCATAAAATAATAAAGGTTGTATTTACAAACTTCAAACACTTTCATTCCCTGCCTCACCATTATTAAAGACAATTGCAAATGCCAGAAAGATGGTTGGTTCAAGGCCAAGTACAGAGTTGGTGCCCAGCAATCATATATTTAATGCTTTGACAAATTAGCAATGATTAGGTCCCCTGTATTCTCTAAGCTATTTTCAATAAAGGGAGGGGAAGGAACACAATCATATGGAAAGTTCAATACTGGGATTTCCCTTCCACATATTCTCTACAGAAATTTCATAAATCTTCCTAAGTGTAATTTTCGACACAGTTTTTCTCA